AGCAGCAGCAGCAGTAGTAATAGTGGGAGAGGTAGTGGTAGTACTACTCGGAGAAGGATGTCAGCATGTTGCGGAATTGTTTCGTCAAGGCTGTTAAGCTTTTCTGATTACTGTAGTGATCAACAGCTGCTGATGCCCGCCCACCGAAACGAGTGCATCAGGAGCCTCAATACAGCGACCAAGCTCAGAGCCAAGGCAAGCCGGCTTAGGTTTTGGAGTTTCGGGTATCGGATAACATAACATAATATAGTGTTGTATCATGTAGTACCATGTGGTACGAGATATTACTAGAATGTGATATTGGTGCGTCCCCAAGTCCCCGCCTCCATCCACAAACCACTTCCGACTCCATGCTTCTCGTGGTCGTCAAGGAGCTGTGATGGCCCCTAGTGACGAGTACTCCGACTTGCCAGCCCTAAACCCTAAACCCCTAAACCCCAAACCGAGTGTGAGAGCCGAAACCCCAAACCCCTACATATTGCTAGCTTCAGGTTTCGCCTCGTTCTCATGGGAAGGGTGGTGGGAGAACGGGCTTTGAAAAAGTCCGAACATGGATTGGTGATGCGTAGATCTGCAATTCTGCATGCTGGACCGGAAGAGCCTGAGGACATAGGTACCGAACTGCATGAAGGATTAAGGACCTCTCGGCTGCGCGGCGAAGTAGTGGGGTACCGGGCATCCGGGCTCGGCTGCCCATTCCCGAAATTGAGAAAGAGGGTGATGCAAGATCCCATGAAGATCCCATGTAATTCCCACAAACCCAATCCCGACAAATGCGGTAAGTCGGATTTGTCCATCCGATTTGCCCGGGCAGGTCCAACTTCAGGCGTATCACATAGACGAGTGATACTGCCCGTTTGAGAAGGAGGAGCTGGCTTTGCGGGGGTGCGCAGGCATTTCTAATCCGAGAGGAGAGGGTTTATGAACAGCCAGACGATTGATTTGGAAGAAAGCAGTAGTCGTAGTCGTAGTGGTAGTGGTAGTAGTAGCAGTCAGCACCGTAACATGGTCTATAATTTACCCCAACTAGGAGATACTAAGAGAGTAGGCGAGAGTCTACATTATGTATTACACACATAGCAGAACCATATTCTGAGTTCCGTGTGATCTTGAGCCTTGGCATTGGAGGCTCCTGCCACTGATGTGTTGCGCCAGAGAGCCCTCAATCCTAAGCCGCAATTCAGCCCCAAATCTGCAACCTATAAAGCCAGTTTTCTGGCTAAGAGAGACTTTTAATAAGGCATCATGGTGATGCATGGCACACATGCTGTTGGTTGTAGTCTAGGATGTTCAGTAGCGTACTTTTTTACTTTTTTGGGTATTGGTTCCTAATATAATATAACTAACCCAAAAAAGTATATACTTTTTCCCAGTTGGTTACTGAACGGCTTAGTAGTTGCATGTGGCAGGAGGCCCGAGCGTTAGGGCTTACATACGGCTTATTAAGTGAAATAAGGCCACGTTGGATGCTATTGCGCAGCCCGCGCCAGACCGGAGACAGAAGGCTTTCACACCCGAAGCTCCGCATGTAGTATATAATGTATTATAATATAAGATTTATATCAGAGTTATGAAGTGTTTAACATATAATACAATATGTAACATGCACCGTCTATGTATGTATGTATGTATGTATGTATGCATGTATGTATGTACGAATGTATGAATGTATGTATGTATGTATGTATGTATGTATGTATGTATGTATGTATGTATGTATGTATGTACGTGTGTGTATGTGTGTGTATGTGTGTGTATGTATGTGTGTATGTGTGTATGTGTGTATGTGTG